CAACATATGTGGTTGGGTTACCGTTGGCATCAGTGGTGGTAACAGTGGTGGTTGCACTATCAGAGCCGTATGATGTCAGGTATGTATCTGGAGTGTAAGCAATTACCGTTTGAGTTCCGTCAATAGTCGTAAGCACAGTAGTGGAGTACGAACCAGTCCAGCCGTCAGTCACTGATGGGGTTGGGGTTGGTGCGACAACATATGTGGTTGGGTTACCGTTGGCATCAGTGGTGGTAACAGTGGTGGTTGCACTATCAGAGCCGTATGATGTCAGGTATGTATCTGGAGTGTAAGCAATCACCGTTTGAGTTCCGTCAATAGTGGTAACCACAGTAGTACTGTATGATCCAGTCCAGCCGTCAGTGACACTTGGAGTTGGAGTAGGTGCGACAACATATGTGGTTGGGTTACCGTTGGCATCAGTGGTGGTAACAGTGGTGGTTGCACTATCAGAGCCGTATGATGTCAGGTATGTATCTGGAGTGTAAGCAATTACCGTTTGAGTTCCGTCAATAGTGGTAACTACAGTAGTACTGTATGATCCAGTCCAGCCGTCAGTGACACTTGGAGTTGGAGTAGGTGCGACAACATATGTGGTTGGATTACCATTAGCATCAGTAGTGGTTACAATTGTCGTAATTGAGTCGCTTCCGTATGAAGTAGAATAACTTTCAGCCGATGATCCAGATGCTGAAGCTGATGCTGAGCTTGATTCAGATGCTGATCCAGATGCCGAAGCTGATGATTCAGAAGCAGATGTCTCAGATGCTGAAGCTGATGATTCAGAAGCAGATCCAGATGGTGAGCTTGATTCAGAAGCAGATGATCCAGATGGTGAAGCTGATGATTCAGAAGCAGATCCAGATGCTGAAGCTGATGATTCAGAAGCAGATGATCCAGATGCTGAAGCAGATGATTCAGAAGCAGATGATCCAGATGCTGAAGCAGATGATTCAGATGCTGATGATCCAGATGCTGAGCTTGATTCTGATGCCGAAGCTGATGGTTCAGATGCTGAGCTTGATTCTGATGCCGAAGCTGATGATTCAGATGCTGATCCAGATGCCGAAGCTGATGATTCAGAAGCTGAAGCTGATGCTGAGCTTGATTCAGATGCTGATCCAGATGCCGAAGCTGATGATTCAGATGCTGAGCCAGATGCTGAAGCTGATGATTCAGAAGCAGATCCAGATGCCGAAGCTGATGATTCAGAAGCAGATGATCCAGATGCCGAAGCTGATGATTCAGATGCTGATCCAGATGCCGAAGCTGATGATTCAGAAGCAGATGATCCAGATGCTGAAGCTGATGATTCAGATGCTGATCCAGATGCCGAAGCTGATGATTCAGAAGCAGATGATCCAGATGCTGAAGCTGATGATTCAGATGCTGATCCAGATGCTGAGCTTGATTCTGATGCTGAAGCTGATGCTGAGCTTGATTCTGATGCTGAGCCAGATGCTGAGCTTGATTCAGATGCTGAAGCTGATGATTCAGAAGCAGATCCAGATGCTGAAGCTGATGATTCAGAAGCAGATCCAGATGCCGAAGCTGATGATTCAGATGCTGATCCAGATGCCGAAGCTGATGATTCAGAAGCAGATGATCCAGATGCTGAAGCTGATGATTCAGATGCCGATCCAGATGCTGAGCTTGATTCAGATGCTGAAGCTGATGATTCAGATGCTGATGATCCAGATGCTGAGCTTGATTCAGATGCTGAAGATGATGATTCAGAAGCAGATCCTGATGATGCCGAAGCTGATGATCCAGATGCTGAAGCTGATGATTCAGAAGCTGAAGCTGATGCTGAGCTTGATTCAGATGCTGAGCCAGATGCTGAGCTTGATTCAGATGCTGAAGCTGATGATTCAGAAGCAGATCCAGATGCTGAAGCTGATGATTCAGAAGCTGAAGCTGATGCTGAGCTTGATTCAGATGCTGATCCAGATGCTGAGCTTGATTCAGATGCTGAAGATGATGATTCAGAAGCAGATCCTGATGATGCCGAAGCTGATGATTCAGAAGCAGATGATCCAGATGCCGAAGCTGATGATTCAGAAGCTGAGCTTGATTCAGAAGTAGAGCTTTCTTCTGGGACTTCAACAACAACAGTCAATGTACCATCCAGACCTGTCACAGTTGTTGTTGTACTAGAACCAGTCCATGTTGAAGTGGTTGTTACTGTACTATAGGGAACTTCAACAATAACAGTTACAGTACCATCGTCACCAGTAGCAATAACTAAGTCTGATGTAGCAGAAACAGGTCCAGTTGTTGTTGTTGATTCCAATGTTGCCGTTGAATAAGGAACCGCGACGTAAGTTTGTGCGAGCCACCCAAATATATCAAGCAAGAAACTGTACACTGTAGTAGTAGTTACCGTAACGTCAGTTGTTAATGTTTGTAGAACACCTCCAATAATAGGAACCAAAGCAAAAGCGGTAACAGTTCCTGAGGGACCAGTAGAATAAACTGTTTGGGAAGGCCCAATAAGACCGTAGTAAATAGAAATAATACGAGTAGAATAAGGAACCCCAGCAATAACTGTGATAATACCAGTATTACCTGTAGTTGTAGTGGTCACTCTTGAGCTAAGAGGACCTGTTGTTGTGGTTGTAACA